CGGGAGCGGGAGCGGGGCCGGCCGCCCGGGGACGGGATGTCCCGGAGGCGCCTGCCCGGCGGCGCGGGCTGTCCCGGCGCGCAGGTTTCGGCGCTGCCGCTGTCCCGGTTGCTCGCAGCGCGCACGGTCCAGGTGGTCCCGTTTGCGCGCGGCTCGAGGCCACAGGGAGCAGAGTCACCCCCAGTGCAGTCCGGGCCCCCCACTTGTTGCCAGCAGGACCCCCTGCGTCGTTGTGGGACGGCCGCGCTCCTGGTGGCCCTGGGGCTGGCCCCATAGCCGGGCTCCCCCAGCGGCTTCCAGCACCGCTCCCCCACTGCCTGCGGTGCCTTATCGGGGCGCACAGCCCGGGGCACTTCCCCCAGGCAGCGTGTGGGGCCCGCACCGGCCCCCCCGGGCTGCGGCCACAGGGACCTGCCCCCCCGCAGGACACAGCGCTGCGCGGGGGGGCTCTTTGCCCACGGAAGAGTGGGTTTGTTGGCTCCGTCCCAGCTCTGCCCGTCCCGCTGCCTGTTGCACTGGGCGGGATGTTGCCGGGATGGAGGGGTGCTGAAATGATCCCAGGATGGAGGGTGCCAGGATGATCCCGGGATGGAGGGGTGCTGGGATGTTCCCGGGATGGAGGGGTGCTGGGATGTTCCCGGGATGGAGGGGTGCTGGGATGATCCTGGGATGGAGGGGTGCTGGGATGTTCCTGGGATGGAGGGGTGCTGGGATGTTCCCGGGATGGAAGGGTGCCGGGATGTTGCCGGGACGGAGGGGTGCNGAGGGGTGCTGGGATGATCCCAGGATGGAGGGGTGCCGGGATGTTGCTGGGATGGAGGGGTGCCAGGATGTTCCCGGGGTGCAGTTTCCAAGGCAAACATCTCCCTCGGAGTAACGCTCGCCGTGTCCCCGGCACGCTCTCGCAGGAGGAAGATGTGCCCAGGCGGGGGAAGCTGCAGCGGCGGTGAGAGCGGGCCCACAGCGCGGGGCGGGGGGCGCCGGGGCCGAGCTTGCCGCCGTGTCCCCCCCGCAGGCAGAGCTTCGTGGTGGTGCGGGGCGCCGCGCTGCTGCTGCCCGCCGAGGAGCCGCCGGCGGCCGAGGCGCCCGCGGGCCGTGGGGCGCCCGGGCGGCAGGAGCAGCACCTGGAGCTCATGATGCGGCTGCTGCGGCCGCAGGACGCCGTGCGCCTGGTAGGGGCGCCCGGCGGCACCGCCGGCGGCGCAGGGGGCGTGGGGAGGGCGGGGCAGGGCCCCGGCTGCTGTCTGGCCAATGGGGGA